ACGCAGCGCCTGAAGCCAGCACACGCCGGTTGCGCTTGTAGAGGTAAGTTTCTTAGTAGCGACGGCACGCAACGCCTGGAGCCAGCACACGCAGCGTCTGGAGCCGGCGCACGTAGCGCCTGGAGTAGGTGCGCTCAACGCTTAGAGCCAGCAGTTGCGGCGCCCAAAGGTAGCGCCGGCGGTAGGTGCACTCGGCGCCTGGAGTAAGTAGTCGTAGCGCCCGGAGTAGTGTGGCCCCCGCGCTTGTAGTAGTCTCGAAGCGACTTCCGAGGTAGATGGAGGCTTGTAGGAATCCGGAGTGGTGCGGCTCCGCGTTTGAAGAAGGCTTCGCCGAAGACTTCACGTGTAGGTGGAGGCTTGCAGGATGCCGGGGCAGTGCGGCCCCGGGATAAGGCCTTTAGGAGATACTTCTAATTCGCGAACTGAAGCGAGACTGCCTTTCTTCACCGATTGTTCGGCTTTTATACCTTTCTAGAGAGAACGGAAAAATTATTTAAATTAAACGCAAATTTTTTGTAAATGGTCAAGAGAAAAAAGTATTTATGTGGAATTATCGAAATAGGAACAACAGATCGGTAGCAAATTTGAATATAATTACTATAGCAACGAAATAAATAACAATATCAAAACATGTCAAATTTTGGTTTTAGGTTTATAATAAGAAAACGGTAAGATTTAAGTGGAAAATGAGATATTATTGATATAGGAAAAAAGGTAGCGCAGCTGCCCACACAAAGCCCAAGATTGTAGAGTTACGGAAAACTAGCTCAAAGATCGAAAAAAAGGTAGACTCCATTGACACCAATTTAAAAGTGCTGATAATGTGAAAATACGAAGTAGAAATGATTTGTTATTGTGTTCTTATGGTTTAAAATCGTTACAGGATCCTATGGAAATAAAGGTGATGTAAAATATCCAGTTTTGAGGTGAATGCAGAAAATCGAAACAGAATGGAAAATGAATTTAAAATAATGTAAAATGATATGTAAGTAGCATAACACTACAGAGTCGAATGATAATGATGTGATTATTGGTGCTTTACAATGTTTAAAACCGTGGGAAATCGTAAACTGCCAGGTTTAGCACATATTATATAAGATGGTTTGAATAAGAACTCAATAGGTGTTATTTCTAAGCGTGGTTCACTAATGGTCTCGGGTTTGAACTATGGTATAAGAAAATTAAAAAAGGTTTCAATATTGTAACATAAGACACCACATTTTGTAACAAAACGGAGTAAGGTCGACGATATAAAATGAATTGAAAATGAATACAACAAAAATAGTGTGGAAGTAAAGTATAATTGTTTAATTTAAAAAAAATACTAAGCTGACATCGTACACAATGTATTGTTAATTAATAAAGAGATTGATTGATTAATTGATATTTCTATATGAACTACAGTTACGTTCATTTAGAAAGGTATCGTCATAATTGTAACCAGCTAAGAAGATATCATTATTGTCATCATAATATATTCTATATTAAACTGTAGTTTTACGTACCCATTAGAAACTGCAAATAGATTGCTAATTACAGGTAAACCCGTTGTTCTGTAAACGTAATATCCGCGTGGATATGGTGTGGTGTGGTAATATCCGCGTGGTTTCCTGTCATTCTTCCTTTTAGGTGTATTTATGTCGTATAGACATGTATCAATCGTAAATGATTCGTTCATTTGACCCGGGTGTCATTAAAGTATTTATGATTGCAATTACATTTTTGAACGTTCCGGCTCAAAAGATTGACAGGGCCTGCGACGAAAGAGTGTAGTAATGTCCGGCGACCGACTTTATCCAGCGGATCTCACAGATACCGAGTCCTGAAACCCGAAATGATCCATTTGAATGATCGACCCGAATGACCCCATTCGTAAGACGAATCAATACTTGAATGATCAGGTCACTAGAAATGAATGAATGATACATGTCTAATGTCGTAAGATGAGTGGTCAACTTTTAAAAATTGAAGGGCACATCCTTTATTTCACCAAGATGTTAAACATTTAAACAAATATAAGATGTTGTTTTTATTGAGAGTATAATAAAATTAGATAGGTTTATATACCTACCTAATTTTACTATACAGTTGTCGTCTGGTCGTCATAATGAAGTCAATCTCATTTTTTGTCCAACCGTCGACCAAGTCTACTTATTGTGGGGCCGCTTATGGAAGAAAGAATTCATCATAAAGAATCATTTTTTCTCCATGAATTCGGCCAGCTGCTGGCCCCTTGGGTTCCGTTGCCCTATTCCAAATTGCCCTACCCTCAGCTCAACGTTCTTTCTTATGCCTAGTTTTGCGTTGAAGTCTCTCATAAACACCGTTTAGTACGTTTATAAAGACTTTTGAGTGCTGTAGAGATCTATTTAGATTTTTTAATGGATATCTCTGATCCGCTATTAGCAATTCCTCTAGTGACACAAATTTTTCCCTTTTTTCGGAGCAAATTTACAATTATCATCGTAATGTACCAGTGGTTAAAAGAATTCCTAGAGGTGCGAGGATGCAGCTTGCTAAAGTATTGTCATGCACTATTCAAAATTGTTTCACTACATAGTGAAAATATTTGGCAAAAATTATTTACTTTCGCGTATTCTCATTTTCATTTTGATAAAACAATAAATAAATCAATTACATCTTAACTAAAAGAGACATCATTTCAAAATTTAGATTACCCAATTAATACCCATTTATCTCGACCACGTCCTAAATTTGATTTAAAAAAAGTAGTTGAGTCGAAAGTAATGGATGGCGACTTAAAAAATGCATCCCGTATTTTATTCTCAGACGACATCCTGGCTCCTCCTAATGTCGATACTCTTGAAAGTCTTCGTCAGAAGCACCCTTCGGTCAAACCTTCTCAGGCTTTACCGCTGCCTCCCAAGACTTCTATGCAACCTTTACAAATTTGTGAAAAAGACACTTTAGAAGCAATTATGTCATTTTCGAATGGCTCTGCTGGCGACATTGACGGAATTACGCCTAAACATCTTAAAGATCTTGTAAGCGCTTATGCCGGTGACGCCGGCGGAGTACTTCTTAAAGACATTACAAAATTATGTAAATTTATGCTTTCTGGTAATGTTAATCCAAATTTCATTGCATTCTTATATGGGGCAAGATTATGTGCCTTAACAAAAAGGATAACTGTATCCGTCCTATTGCCGTTGGTTCCACATTTCGAAGCTTAACTTCAAAATTAGCTTGCAGGCACATAATCTCTAACCTTAAGACCAAATTTCAGCCTACTCAACTAGGCTTTGGCACTAGAGGTGGCTGTGAGGCGGCGGTACATTCAGTGCGTACATTTTTAACAAACTCTGATGCAGATGTTCTTGTGAAGGTTGACCTATGGAATATTTTTAACTCTATCGATAGGGTAACCTTGCTGAAAGAAGTAGCTAACAATACCCCCGAAATTTATAATTACGTTTGGCAATGTTATAGTCAAAATACTAACTTGTTTTACGAAAACCATGTTATCGATTCTGCTGTCGGTGTTCAGCAGGGTGACCCACTGGGTCCAGCACTATTCAGTTTGGGAATTCAACCCATTATTTCAAATTTTAAATCCAAGCTGAATGTCTGGTACCTAGACGACGGTACACTGGGAGGTAGAGCAGATGGCGTCCTCAGTGATCTTAGTCATATTTTTCGCAATTTCAAAAATATTGGTCTTGAACCAAATAACAATAAATGTGAAATATTTTTTTTTCCAATAATTTATCTACTTCTCATAGAGACACTTTAACTCAAAATTTCAATCATATTTGTCCAGGAATAAAAACTGTCAGTACGGAATCACTATACCTGCTAGGTGCCCCGTTGTTTTTCGATAGTATTAAACCTGTTTTAAAAACAAAATTTGATCAGTTTTTAAACCACGTTGATAAATTGTATAAATTAAACCCCCACGTAGCTTTTACTATTTTAAAATATTGTCTACTTAGTACTCTTACTATTTTAAAATATACCTAGATTTACATACTTACTCCGCTCGAGTCCAGTCTGGAAATGTTCAGAATTCAGATATTTTAAAATATATTGATAATTTAAAATATCTGAATTCTGAATTTTAAAGTTGTGAAATTGATAAGCTATAGAAAAAATTCTAAAATTAACTTCAAACACAACAGCCTGGACTCAAGCTACTTTACCTATAAAATTTGGTGGCATTGGTGTGAGAAATCTTTCAAAAGTAAGAAAAAGTACAGCCTCATTACTGACCACCTCGGATGATACTTCCTGTGGGACGTCATAATAGTACAGACTTTTCTATCCAGAGCATTCGGTTCGGTCTGAGTCCACCTGGGTATGCCAAAAGTATACATGAGAACAGGCATGATCCAACCGTTATATGGATGTGTCTTATTAACGCTTGACAAAAGACTGTTAAGCACTTTTGTCAAGCGTTTTTTTTTTTAAACGTTACCCCCACACTAGGATTTTCTCCTGTGTCGTGGAGGCAGTTTACAAACATAAATTGCACAAGGACAAACATCCAGACCCGGAACAATTATTTGTAGGCCATACAAATACGTGTTCCGTGCGGGATTCGAACCCGCGGCCCCCAGCGCAACAACTGATTGCTAAGCCACTGCGCCACGAAGTTGCATAAAACACATCGCAATCTGACTGATTCATGTCCGCCTCATCGATACCCATGTTCTGTGACATACACAGGTATCGGTATGTTTCAGCCCCGGATAAGGTCTTTATGTTGATGAGCATAGATAAGTCTATGCCCTCAGAGTTATCCTTTCCCAGCTCCATTCCAATAGAATTGCTAAAATCACAAGTGATGTTTAGCAATTCCATAAGATGAGAACGACTGGAGGCGAATAACTTGAGATCATCCATATAGAAAAGGTGGGTCATTTTGTACCTCCTTTCCGAAGCTGAAATCCCCTCCCGGAACCCTCCAGTAAGGTGCTGAGAGGGTTCAGAGTGAGGTAGAACCAGATTGGACTCAAACAATCGCCCTGGAAGATACCCCTTCATATCCTCATGTGGTTCTCCGCAGCCATCACCCGCTCGCCTAGATGACAAAGGATCGTACTCCACTGCCCTATACATTGCCCGAGGAAGTCTCGAACTGTACAGTCAACCTTGTACAGCTCGAGGACCCTCTTAAGCCATGTATGAGGCACCGAGTCGAACGCCTTTTTGTAGTCTATCCAGGCGGCGGAGAGTTTCCGACGGTTGCGTTTAACCACCTTGCTAATGACCGCGTCAATTAGGACTGGTTCCTTGGTTCCGCGACCACCGCCCTGACATCCATTTTCATTCATCACCTGATTTGAGTTCAGGTGACGAGTGATTCTCGCGCTCAAAATGGATGTTAGTGTCTTGTATATGGTAGGTAGACACGTTATGGGGCGGTATTTGCTCGGGTCTGTGGAATCCCGGTCTTTAGGAACCAAATGAGTGATCCCAGTAGTGAAGAGGCTCGGGAGTGACTTTTGGTCGAGAGCCTCTTGAAACTGTCGGGCGAGCACAGCGTGACACATCACGAACCCCTTCAGCCAGTAATTATGCAGTCCGTCGAGTCCCGGACTTTTCCAGTTCGGGGCCCTACGGACCGCCTGAGCTAAGTCATCCGGTGTTATGATGACGGGGCCATGGGCGTTATTGGCCATTATTATTACTATAATTATTATTAACCCTTCATGCGCGAGTCCGACTCGCACTTGGCCGGTTATTTAAGAGTATTACTGCTATACCTAGATGGATGCGATCTAATATGCCACCGGGCGGCTCCCGTCGCTAGGTGACAACGCCAGTTTTACCCCACACACCCATGTTATTCACCATTTCCCATCACTGTCATTACAACATACTTTTGTCTTTGCATATCCATCAGACGTCTGAAGAAAAAAGAAACTATTCACGTCACAAATTGACGTTCTTAGATTGATATTTTTGTTTCGCTTCAAAAAAGAAGTAAGTTTAGTACCTATACGAATTTTTCAGCGTACTTATCACTAAGTGCTAATATAATACAATAATATCTCCGAAGCCAGTTAAACGAAATTGCTGATAAGTTATTTTATCGAAAGAGCTATGCTTTCACCTGAGGCTTTCACAGATACGGATGTCCCATACGGGGCCGTTTTGTACCATATTGGTATTATGCGATTTAGACCGTAGGCATCCTACGTTTGGGTATAGAAAGTAAAAATATAAATAAATATAAATAAAAACATCATGATATACTTTTACTTGACAATTTCCTGGAATGTCTGAAAGCTGCTGTTGCCAATGTTGGTCCTCTGCCGTTTTTTCCAATAAACTTTAATACCAAAGAGCCCATCACAACCAAGGACTAGTGCTCCGATTATGTCGAAGAAACTCTTTTGGTCAGTGGGATGTATTTTATTTCCCTTCTACTCTTCAAAGGCTACTGACGAGCATTGTCCTGTCCGCGACCTGCCGACGCGCTTTCGTTTGCTTTCTTTGAGCACACGGTCCAGCCGATGGTAAGTACGAGTACAATCAAAATGCAGATGAGTTGTCACCCCTAAGGATTAAGATGGATTGCATCGTTTCCAGTAAAAAGGGTCCCATATCCTCACCATACGAAACAAACCAGCTGAAATTTTACGGTGGTATTCTTTGAGAGTGATTCTTTCCCAATCGAGCCGACCCATTCGTGCTACCACTAAAATATGGCTGCAGAATGGCTCTACCACTTATAACTTTTATCTATATAAGTAAATCTTGAAAAAACAAGTCCAGAAGACTAGTTAAAGGGTACTGAAGTCAAATTAGTAGTTTTTAGAATTTTTGTCTGTTTGTGTATTACCGATTCACGCAAAAACTACTGGACGGATTTCTATTAAATTTTATATTTAGGTAGTTAGTACACCGGGGCAACTTATAGACTATTTGTATCCGATTACGGAACTTAAAAAAGAGGGTTAAGTATTTTTCTTCCTATAGATGTTAATTTTCTATTATATATGATTATGTTAGTTAATTTAGTTAATAGGCGGAATGACGGGTGTTTTTTTTCAAATAAATATCATATTTATAAATAAAGTTTAAAATTAGTACCTTTGCATAACAATTTGAAACTCTGCTGACGATATATATTTTAAGTATCAAAACAGCGCCATCTATTTACTATTTTGCCTTTACCGTTACAGCCTATTAAAGTCCATTGCTGAACACAGGCCTCCCCCATATATTGCTTCATAGGGGGGATATTTAACATAGTTGCCATGCTTAGCAAGCGGGTTGGCAATCGCAGTTTATTTTTATTTTTAGTCTTTATTAGGAAGACGCTGCTGCCCATCTCCTGATTCCTTCCCCTCTGTCGCCCCTTAAGACACCCACGGGATGATATGGGGTAGTGAATATTCTTACACCGCCACTACTCAGTTTAATAGTGTATATTTGTTTTAGTAACTAATAAAATAAATAATATAAATTTATATGTTTAAATAATTAGATTTATAAAGTTATTTAAAAATCCTAAAGTTTGATTTTTTAGTTTTTTCGTTATTTCATTTTAAATGTGCAATAATTAAAATTTAAAAAATAATAGATAACAGTGACGAGATAGTGAATAGATAACTGATTAAAACCCGTCTGCAAGCAATTATTGCAAAATTCTCATTAAATCATTATTTCGTTAAATGGTGTCATTTTAATTACATTTATCACTGTTTGTTGACCATGCCATGATATAGCTTCACAAGTCCACTGCTGAACATAGGCCTCCCCCAAGGAATGCCACAAAGCACGGTCCTGAGCCACCTGCATCCATCGACTTCCTGCATATCTTACCAGGTCGTCACTCCATCTAGTGGGGGGACGCCCAACACTTCGCCTGCCGGTACGAGGCTGCCACTCGAGAACCTTTCTTCACCATCGGTTATCGGTGCTTCGAGCTATATGGCCGGCCCATTGCCACTTCAGCTTACTAATCTGTTGGGCTATGTCGGTCACTCTGGTTCTACTGCGGATATCCTCATTTCTGAGTTTATCACGCAGAAAAACTCCGAGCATAGCCCTCTCCATAGCTTGCTGAGCGACCTTGAGCTTCCTCATCCGGCCAGCAGTGAAGGACCACGTCTCAGTTCCGTATGTCATCACTGGCAACACACACTGGTTGTACAGTCTCGTTTTCAAGTTTCGACGTATACCTGACGAGAAGATGTGCCGTAATTTCCCGCACGCTGCCCAACCGAGTTGAATCCGTCGATTGACCTCTCGGTCGAAGTTGGACTTACCTAGTGGGACTATTTGTCCCAGGTAAACATACTCGTCAACAACTTCGAGCTTAGTGCTCCCAACAACTACCGGCATAGGTGTGACATGGACATTAAACATGATCTTTGTTTTGTCCATGTCCATCTTAAGACCTATCCGTTGGGAAGCACTATTGAGGTCATTGAGCATAGTGCTTAGGTCCTCCAGCGATTCTGCCATAAGGACTATATCGTCGGCAAATCGAAGGTGAGTGATGTACTCGCCATTGATGTTGATATCGTATCCTTTCCAGTCCAGAAGCTTGAAAACTTCTTCCAATGCAGCGGTGAAGAGTTTCGGGGATATGACGTCACCCTGTCTTACACCTCTCTGCAATTGGATAGGTTTCGTACTCTGGTTCTGTACTCGGATAGCCATCGTAGCCCTACTGTACAAGCACTTCAGCACTTCGATCTACCGACAGTCCACTTGGCACCGCTGAAGGGACTGCAGCACCGCCCAAATTTCGACGGAATCAAAGGCTTTCTCATAGTCCACATACGCCAGACATAGTGGCAAATTGTACTCCTCTGACTTTTGTACAATTTGCCGAAGGGTATGTATGTGGTCTATGGTGCTAAAGCCTTTTCGAAAACCGGCTTGTTCGGGAGGCTGGAAGTCGTCAAGTTTGCGCGCGAGACGATTCGTAATGACTCTCGAAAACAGCACGTAGACGCGGCTCAGAAGGGAAATCGGTCTGTAGTTCTTCATGAGAGCGTTGTCGTCTTTCTTGAAGAATAAGACCACCGCACTTCTGCTCCACGCCTCCGGTGTAATGCCACCACGGAGGACGGAATAGAAAAAAGAGCCTCTGAAGGACTTTCAGTACTGGTTTTTCACCCGCTTTCAGAAGCTTCGCTGTAATTCCATCCTCGCCTGGGGCCTTGCCGTTTTTAAGCTACTGGAGAGCAATTCTAATCTCGCTTTCTGGCAGACAGATCTCTGGCAAAGACTTTGGAGCCTTGGTTCCGCTCGATCGCTTCTTCAATACGAGCTGTATTGAAGTTGCGTAAGTCCCGCCGCATGGATTTGGAGATCTGTCTGTTCAGTTGCCTGTATGCTGTCAAATCTGTTGAAGAATGTAGCTTCATCTACCGTCTAACAGCCATGAGATTAAGAGTGTGATCGGAGAGATTTTGATTCTTAATCAAGGATAAATGTAGATGTCTATGGGCCACGGTATCGAGCACGCAGTGTACCACTCGTTTGTTACAATCTACCTATACATACAAATAAATAAAATTGGAGTGTCTGTTTGTAACATCAAAATAATTTTCACTAAATGCGTATGAAAGTTTATATGGTACTTATAACAACAACACAGTTTTTAAAATTTTTCTCTGTCTGTCTGTCTGTCGGTCTGTCTGTTTGTTCCGGCTAATCTCCGAAACGGCTGGACCGATTTTTGATGGGACTTTCACTGGCAGACAGCTGATGATATGACGATAAGGAGTAACTTAGGTTAATTTTGTTTTAGAAAAAGAATTAGGGTTCCGCGCAAAAAATTTAAAACCTAAATTACACGCGTGCGAAGTTGCGGGGAACAGCTAGTTATTCTATAAAAAAAAATGAACCTACACAACAATCTAGCCAGGACTGCCAGAATGAATTACAGCCTGTATACTTACTATATGTTCTGGGCTTCAGTTTTATCCCAAACCAATAAAGATATTTATTTTATTTTCGTGTCTTAATGTTGAGTGTTCGAATATTTCCGTCTCTAATCTTTGTTCTTCCCAAAAACCCAACTTAGACTCGGTATTTTAATGTAATATGTGGTGGAGTAAGTGAATCCACCATCCCATTTCGTCGAAAGACGCGTCTATAGAACTGAGCAGAAATATCTTGTAGTCTCAAATAAATGTCTAAATTAAGCATGCTGTAGCTATATTATAGTTATAGCATGAATGAGCCGGCTAGGAAGGACCACGCTCTCACAGAATACCTGCGTGAAATAGCAGTATTACTGTGTTTCGTATGGTGAGTGTAGAAAATATTAGACCCTTTATACTGAAAACGAGGCGTTACATATTAGTCCTCAAGCATTTTGATTCTTGATCGAAGATAAATGTAGATGTCTATGGGCCACAATAACCACTCACTTAGGCGGACATATGGTTATAGTTGAAAGGTTTTAGTTGTAATAGCAAAAATGACGGCGTGACAAAAATTGGCAAAGATATCGCGATACTGACAATACAAAGATTATATTTGTATATAGAGGTTAGTGCATAAGTACCAGGTTTGTTATGTATTGCAATACTTCACGCATTAACTGAATTTTTCATTGTTACAGATCTGATAATGCATCAATGCGTGAACGGTGTGATGGACGATCAAGATCCACTGTCTGTCATGTCACCGAACCCGATGATGCTGTTTTACGAGGACGAGTCCTCTGAGTGCTACGATATTAAACCCGATGTGGATGATATAAATGTAGATTTACAAATGGAACAATGTGATGCAACAATAGAACAAAATCGCGGTAAGTTTTCTTTCTGCAGTGAAGTGTAGGCCCCACGACTAATGGTATAATTAAAGTTAAGTTTAAAAAAAAAAACAAAAAAAAACATGCGTAAGTGTCGTGGAACAGTCAGTTGGATTGAAGTTCCTTTCGTAGTATATTATTATTGATAAACGTATTACATTATTGATTAACTAATACAAGTAAATGAATTACTAGTGTCTATTAAAGTGAAGCGTCATTTAAAATAATATTTCTTTCATGGCAAGATAAGAAAAAGTGCGAGGGCGAGGCACTATGCAAAGGGGATGGTGACGGAAAAATCTTACACTTTTTCTCGCCTAGGCCCCATCCGCCAAATTCGTACCGTGCGATAAGGAACTTCGTTCCAAAAGTCATAACAAGAGTACCACGCCTCTCTTCTCATTAACGTCTTTCTTACACTACATTTCAATTTTATGCATACTGGTAGCACTAAATTACTTCTTACTACTACTCAGCATTCTACTGATCTTCTTTCGGGCACTCTTTATGTTAGAGTACACGTCCAGCCCATACAATTTAACTTGTAAAAGTGTTCACACCTATGCCGGTAGTTGTTGGGAGCACTAAGTTCTCGAAGTTGTTGACGGATATGTTTACCTGGGACAAATAGTTGGACTAGGTAAATCTAATTTTCATATATGTCCCCAGCGAATTCAGTACATTTCAAATGTACCATGCAAGTGTCACATCCAATATTCTTTAAGTCAATAATTTCTGTGTCGCTAGTCAAATCCTCTTCACAGTTTTTGCATCTTACTTTGTTTATTGTACATATAGTATTTTTCTTCCTCCTTTTGCTATTTTTGGAATTCAACAGCCTTTCCGCTTTCATTTTTTGTAATTTTTGTTGCTATTTTTGATTTTCTTCTTCTTTCTTTGTTTTAGCTTCAAATCTCTTAATTCTTTTAATCAATATATCGTTCTTTTTCTGTTGCTTCAATTCTTCTTTTTGTTTCTGAAATTGTCTCCACTCTTTGAAAGAAATAGCTCCTATTCTTTTTATCCCATTTCTAATCGCCGCCATAGCTTGTTTTAATTGCTCTTCTTTGTATTGATGGATGAATTTTTAACACGATAGAATTCTAAAACAAATTATTTTCATGTTAAAATAACCGTGCATAGATTTAACCCTTATTGAAAATTCTTTAAGGTACTATTTTGTACAACAGGACTAACGGCTGACTACTGGATTTGTAGACCCATTGGTCGGCCCCTGAAATGCAATTACATTTATACGCGGCTGACTACTGCTAAAATACACTTTTCGCCCTATAAGAGTTAATCCCAAAATAATAAACAAAATTGGTACTATTCGCTCCGTTAATTTCAACTAGATATAAGAAAATCACGAAAAAACCAGTAGTCAGCCACTTATGGCTGAGTACTGGATCTGCCTTAAATATTCGAAGCCCACTAGTCGGCCACCTAAATTACAACATATTAAACAAATGAAATGCATGTAGTTAATTTTATCACAAAATAAACATTTTATTGTAACACAGTATAACAATCCACCGCAAATTACAGCAAATACACACAAAAATTTACCGAAAACTCGAGCACGTTTCCTTAAGAAAAAAATTGCAACAGCGTCGCATCTAGTGATGTCTTTGGCAACAGTGCAAATTAACTAGTGTAGCTTGTCGACCTGATATGATATTAGTTCGTAAGTGTGCGCATTTGTCAACGAGGAGACACAATCAATTAAACGTTATTTTAAAGGTGTAGACAAATTTCAACCCTATTCATATGGAAATGATGTCTGTAAAGGCGGAGTATTGGTGCGGGGCTGACTACTGGGTGGTTTACCCTATACCTACATTAAATGATATGAATGTGATGGATCTTTTCATAAACGATGCGTCAGCGTTTCGAAAGTCCACTGTAGGACATGTTTTGTGTCATGACATGATATGTAAGATTGTTTCTAAAGAATGCGCCGAGGCAGGCATTTTTGAAAGCGTTGCACGCACTATATTACACAGGTGGGCCCTATATTACACACCTTGAATGCAGAAATGAGGCCCGCGCAGTCGCACTAGTGACACAACTTCCTATCACCAAACTTTATAAATGATAATGATGAATGAATGATTATAAATATAAATGATGAAATACTTTAAATATTTAGGAATCAGTCGATCGATGAGGTTAATATATGAAGCAGAGTTGATATATTATTCCCTTCCTCTCTTTAATTGATTTTCATATAAGTTTCATTTAAATTTCGCTACAGTCGAAAAATACAACTAAAACGTGTTATATTTACAAAATCAAAAGTCTATTGCTAAACATAGTCCATAAACTGCCTGAGTGTTGGCAGCCGCAGTTTTTAATTATTTTGAGTTGTTATCCGGGAGATGCTGCTGGCCATTTCCTATTTCGTTTCCCTGTGTCGTCTATTACGGCACCCACTGGATGATACGAGGTATACCAACACGATGAAGTTTTGACTTCGTTTGTTGTTAGCCGTGCACATACACATTGTGTTAGTGTGCGTGGGCTACTCCCGAGCGCCCGCAGCCTACGCACACTAACACAATGTGTTGTGCACGGCTAACAACTACCAAAGTCAAAACTTCATCGTGTAATAGAATAACTATAGTCGGTTCTCTTACGCAGCCACTACACAGTAAATAACAATTAAACTTTACTTCCTTCAAAATCGAATAGTAAAAATCATTCTTTACAATCAAGCAATATTGCATCAAAGATAATAGGTAGGTACTATTCACGTTTCCTAAGTTTCAATCGAGTTAGAAAGGCAACGAGACCGTTGTGATTTTGCGAGTCGCTTGCAATTATTAAGTTTTTAAGCATTGTTGCAATTTAGTGGTACGAGAAAGCAAAATGTAGGCGTCACGGTCAAGTGAAACATAGTAAATATAAAAATCGTTATAGAATAGAATAGAATAGAATAATTTTTATTCAATATACATTACATGTGTAATTCTTATTGAAAGTCATTTTTTACTTTACCACTGGTTCAAAAAAAATCCCTCTGTCCTGGGAAGAACCAGCAAGAAACCCAGCGGGGCTTTTTTTAAATAAATTTTACAATATAAATGATTACGAACTATTTACAAAATTTATTTTAGAAACTGCTTGGAAGCGACCACGTCATTCCCAGGGGTTATTATCAACCATGTATTCATTTATACTTAATACCCCTTTTTATACAGTTTCAGCTTAACAAAACATTTAAACTTGGTAATAGATTATAAGCTACTTAAAACGGTCCACCTGACGGTAAGTGGTGGCTGTGGCCCATAGACATCGACTTCGTTTGCGTATGAAAATGCAGATGTGTTGTCAGCCGCGAGGACTAAGATAGAATGCCTCTTTTCCAGTAAAATGGGTCTCCGGTTCTCTATACTCACCATACGAAACACAGCAGCATTAAGCTACTATTTTACGCTGGTATTCTGTGAGAGCGTGGTCCTTCCCCGGTCGGGCAGACCCATTCGTGCTACAACTGTAATATTAATATAGCTGCAGCATGGCTCTACCACGTAAAAAACTACCACAATCACGTTTAGGGATATCTGGATATATTAAATGTTATTGAAAGTATTTCGCTTATATCGCTCATTTCCTGGTTCCGCATTTTTTGTCAGAGAGGATGATAAAGCCTTTGCTTGTCCCGTGCATTACATGTAATTCATTGCTATTGTCCTATTACTGTGTCTACAAACTGGACAGTGAAAATGTTAAAATCCTTTTTCCGCTTATAGAAATTCTGACGGCAAGGATATGGATCGGATCCTTGCCAGTACCGGCTGACGTAGTGGCTAGGGACCTCCCTATTAAAAGTATTTTAATGGTTATTGCATGAAGTTACATAGTCATAATTATAATTTTTAACAAAAAGTAAAATCAGACATCAAATATCCAAAAAAGAAATTATTTATTTGCTACCCTTAGGGGTGAATTTTTTTCTCTAATTTTATATGGGACCACCTTAAAATATAAACTATTGAATAAAAAAAGAATCATCAAAATTGGTTCACAACCTGCGAAGATATCGCGTAACATACATACAAAAAAATATACACACGATTTGAGAACCTCCTCCTTTTTGAAGCCGGTTAATAATACAAAACAAGATTAGTTAGCTTTGAGAACATGAGATAAGGGAGATGAAATAAATTATTAAGGATAAAGAAATTTGTTTACTCGTAATAACCTCTTGCATCGATTTTGGTGAAACAAAAACTGTATTCAATTTTTTTATCTGTCAAATCTGCTCATTATGCAAATGAACATGGCCACTAAAACAATTTATCCGTATGCATGAATCCATAGAGTAAGTACTGTTTATAAAAATCGATTCCAACAAAGTTCCAAATACCTAATTTTTTGTAATCTCTACATATAAAAATCAATTGTTGTCCGTTAGTCTCGCGAAAGGCACAGAATAAATAATAGTACAAGAACTAAAACTCAAAAGCAGCTTGACCGATTTTGATGAAATATTTCGTGTGTGTTTGAATAGATCCCTAGATATAATAGTCCCTAGATAAATATAAACCATATTTACATGGCGCTGTTGTCAAGATCCAGAAATCACTCGTGCGAAGCCGGGGCGGATCCCTACTTTATTATAATTTATACAAATCTCATCTTTGAAACGGTATTTTGTTGGGTGCTCACATTAAAGATTAAACCCTGTCAATTTCTTTGTTTGTTAAAAAAAGAATTCCGGTTTTCTAGGTAATTAGATTGATACCACGTAGTAACTTAATGTTTGAGGATTCTATACATGCGGTGTAATATACATATTTCTTAGAGTAAATGTAACGTCCTCTAGACCGAATTTCGGTCACGGCGGCCAGTCTAAACGGAAACTAACCAATCTGCGCAGGACTGGATTATAGTGCCCGAGTGCACATGTGCACTCTCTATTCCCTTACTTTCGTATTCCTATGGGACGGTTATCCGACACGACCAGAGAGAGAGATCAGGCGCAGAACAAA